AATAAATAAAATTATAATAAAATGTAATATTTCATAACTAGAGAAAGATTAAGGAATTAAGGAATTTTATGTCACTATAGTAACAATAGTTAAATCAGTAATTAGAAAACTTAAAAAAGATGATTATAAAAAAAATAATTGCAAAGAAATATAAATATAGAGAGATCTGACTATATAATATTAAAAAATTAATTTAAAATTTCTCTTTATATTATAATTTATAAGTTATAATTTAATATATATTTTTTTAAATTTTTCTAAAAAGTTATTCTAATTTATAAAGTTATTACAAAATTTTTTTATTAAAAATGAAAGTTTATTAAAAAAAATTTTCAAATAAATTATAATTAGAATATCTTTTTTAGAAAAAGTTTGAAAATCTAAAAAAATATATTATCTCTCAAAAAATAAATTTTAATTAGCAGAAAAATTAAATTTTTATAAATTTTTATAAATTTTTACTAATTAAAATTTATTTTTTGAGATTAAATATCTCAAGAATATATAATTTAATTAAGTTAAAAATATAAATAAATTAAATTCATGGAAATATTTTATGAAAAAATAATTATAAATCTTATCTTGAATTTTATTTTAAAAATTTAGCTTAAAAAATTATCAAAATTGATTAATTATATTAAAATAGCTAAAAATAATACATTATTTTATTATTTTAAAAAATGTTAGAAATTTTAAGCTTTAAAATATTATGTTGATTATTTTATTTGAATAAATATAAAAATAAAATAGATATAACTTATTTTTATTTGTATTTAAGATTAAAAATTTTATAAGTGTTTAATAAAATTTTTTTTAAAAAAATAAAATATATATAACTTATTTCTTTTATCTATATTTAAGACTAAAATTATATATTTAATAAAAATTTTTAAATTAAAAAATATAAAAATTTATATTTTTAATTTTTTGACAAAATTATTTTTAAAATAACTAAAATGACTAAAACAAGCTATCTTATTGATTATTCTTAATATATTTATTAGGTTAATAATAAAAACTTTAATAACTCTTCAATAAAATTTAATAAATTTCCATTTATAATAATTAAAAATCAATAAAAAAATAAGAAAAGTTAATAATATTAAGCTTTTTATTTTGTTTTTTAAAAATTACATAATTAAACTAAAGATTTTTGTAATTAAAATTGTTTATTCAAATAAAGAATTCAAAAATAAAATCAATATATATAACAAACTGTTATAAATTCTATATATTTTTGGAATTAATACTAATACAATCAAACATTTTTATAGTTGTCATCTCGGAAAAGCAAAATTAGATGATTATAAAACCTAAAAAACTAAATTGGGTAAAATATAAAGAGGTTTGGCTTGAATATATTTAGATAAATCTGAAAGCAATCTAGTTTTATCTTATATTTTTATTAAATTTATACGAAAGTATATTTAATATAATATCAATATTTTTATTTTAATATTAGAAATATACATGCAGTTGATTTTCTCGACGCAATCTTTGAACACTTAAAACATAGTTGCTCGCAAAAATTAAGATATACACAGTGAACCTGTATATAACGAAACCTGGATTTCATTTATAATGAAGTTTTCTAATGAGACAATTTTTTTAATATAATTTTCTACCTGAATATAACGAAAACCTGGTTATACCTAAAAAAAAAAATAGGTGGAACGGACCACTTCGTTATATCCAGGTTCACTGTGTACTAGAAGAAATTCTTAAAGCTTCTAATAAAGTTCATAATTGATAAAATTACTCATAAAGTTATCAGAGGAGATAATGTCCTTGTATTGCAAAAAATTCAATCGATTATGAAGAGATGGTTTGTACTTATTGTGGTTGACTAATGTATTTACAGTCATACCTCTCTATAAGAACATGGTCGGAAGACAAAAAACTTGATTCTTATAAAAATTTATAATTAAGTTCTTTATGAAGAGAGAAATTTTAATATAATTTATACAAGTAATAAGTTTGTTCTGAAAAATTATTCTTATAAGAATTTGTTCTTAAAGAAAAGTGTGAATGTACATATACATGTATTACATATACTTAATATTACATGTTCATGTATAAATCATTTGGAATTGGTCATTTTTATAAGCAGGTGATTGTTCTTTGCGGTAAACGGATAACAATTACAAAAATATAGATATGTAAATTTTTTTATTCTAAGTGAATGATGACTTTGATGTTGCAAGTGTGGTTTTGCACAGTATAGAAAAAAATTTATGTTCATTCTAACAGAACACTTTTATAATCGTCGTTGAATGCTTTTTTATTTTTTATTTCATAGTATGTAATTAAGCAGTTTATTTTCAATTTTAGTATTGTTTCCATGCGATCAAATTTAATTAAAAATTTAACTTTCGTCTGTATCGGTTTGTTATTTTTGTTATAACGGATTACATATACTTGAATTTTTATACTAACATATTGGTTTAACACAAATAATTCTAACTTTCAAAGTACATGTACATGTATAAGATTAACTTTAACAGCAAATCTTCAGTGTAACTCGAATTACTATAGAGCTTTGATTATACATGTAGTATCCCCCCATAATACTCCAACAAGTTGAGAGCCAATTGTTGATTATATGCAGTACTAATAATATGCAATTTTACTTTATATTTTAAAATATATGTATTAAAATATTTTGAATTTTAAATTTCTACGTATCATTTTGTTAGATGTAAATGTATAATTGCACTTTTCATAATTCAATCCTCTCGGGGATGCCCAAGAATGTAAGACAAACTATGCAAGTCATCATGTACATGTATTACATGCACGTCGGAGTTTTTAGACATACATGTACATAAATCAATTTGTGCACGTATATAAGAACGTACATTATATGTATTTTTTAACACTAAATACGTATTACATGTACATTTAATAACGATAAGCTAAAATGATATCAGATACCATCCCTAAAAGAGATTTAGCAAACGAATTACTAGAAATTTACAAAAAAGGATGTGACAATTTAGAAGACGATCGAGAAATAGAAGTAGAGGTGAAAAAATGGTTCAAAACACACAGTGAATCACCATCACATATTTTTAAGATGATACTTGAGCGAAGCGACGATGAAACAGACTACAAAACTCTTTTAGCATTTATGTATTGTCTGGGCATAGGAACAGAAGTTGATAAGTTTGAAATGTTTCGATATTATTTGATGGCTGCGGAACAAGAGGATCCAGTTGCTGCGAATCAAACAGGATGGTGCTTTTACGATGGAGTAGGAACACGCAAGAATCCCGAAAAGGCTTTTTATTGGTTTCAACGTTCGGCTGATGGTGGTTACGCGATGGGATTGGGGTGGTTAGGAAACTGTTATGAGAAAGGTGTTGGCGTAAAAGCTAACATTGATAAAGCATTTAGTTACTATATAATATCGGCGGAAGGTGGAGATTCCGGTTCACAATGTAATGTTGGCAATTGTTATAGAAATGGATATGGCGTAGCTCAAGATTATGAGAAAGCCGTTTACTGGTATAAAAAAAGTGCGGAAAGAAATCATGGTTATGGATTAAACAATCTCGCTTATTGTTATCAACACGGGTACGGTGTAGAACAAGATGAAAAGGAAGCATTCAGACTATACCAAAAATCAGCAAATATAGGAAACACCAACGCCCAAATCCAACTTGCGTTTCTCTACAGAGAAGGATGCGGTGTTGAAAAAGACGATAAACAAGCATTTTACTGGTGTAAAAATGCTTTTGATCTTGGAAATCCTGACGCGGCAAACGAGCTTGGATACTGTTATCAACTAGGAATCGGAACACGACCAGATAAATATAAATCATTGCTTTGTTATCGAAAATCTATTGCTGGAAGTTATCGAGTGGGAAAATATAATTATGCGTATTCTCTTCATAATGGGTTTAGTGGGTCGGTGGATAAACATCAAGCAATCTATTGGTATCGGCGGGCATTTGATTGTGGGTATACGAAGTATTCAAAGAAGCAATTAAATTATGTCTTTTTAAATAATAATACATGGACATAGTAATTATAGTTTTTTTTTGCCTTAAACATTAAAGTAATATGTTATTAATTATGTTATTAAATAGCTAATGAAATAATAACAATCCCCTATTGAAACATGTTATTTCTTTACATATAGAATTTTTTAGTCTAAGGGTAAAAACTGTCAACGCTCTAAAAAAAATTAAGTCTGCTTTGTATTTTTAATGAATATTGCAGCCCTGAAACGAGCATCTCAACCACAATATTAATTATTGAAAAAAAGAATATGGCAATAGGGCTTCTCTAAATATGCGCTAAACAGTTCCAAAAATCATACATTTAGCTACATGACTATCAAAATAAACCATTTTCATGTGAAAGAAAGACGACCTTAACTTTCATACGTTGATTAGTTATTTAGTTTTTGTATTTTATCTTTATCTTTATTTTAGTTATAGTTTTCTGTGATTAATAGTTTATACTATTTAATCAGCTCAAATCTTGAATTATATTGATTACTAATGACTTTACTCAGATAATCTTTATAATTTTTTTGATTTATTTTATTCTTTCTTTATTTATTTACCCTTTATTAAGATAATATCCATAAATATTGGCTCAGATCTTAGAAACCTTTGTCATTATTAAAAGTTATAGTCTAATTCTCTTCTTGTTACCTTTTATTATTTTAGTCTCTCCCAACTCTATATCGTTAGGATGAATCAAAGTAAAAACCCACTTACCAATTTGCTGTAGCATATTTTTGATGCCCCCTCTGTGGAAAAAAACCCTCTAAATATCCCTTTTTATATTTGTACCCTTTTATATTTCTTTATTATATCCTTTTTCTCTTTGTTTATAATTGATAAATAATTTGAGTCTTGAGTTTTCATGACTAATTATTATTCTTTTATTAGAACACTTGTTAATTATCATTTTGAGACACACTAAATTCTTAATTATTCTATTAGAATATCTCTTCAAGACTTTTGTCCTTATTGTCATCCTCTTCAATCTAATTTATCATTTTAATTTCATACCTTTCGTTTGCTCACAGAACATATTAGAGTAATATCAATCAATTAAATTACATATCTATTATTTCAAGAATTAATTCAACTTGATCTCACTGAAATACACATTAGCTGATTGAAACAAAGAATAGTATAATTAGTAAACACCTTTATCTTTGATAGTATTAATACCCAAGAAGAATAACTTGACTTAATTGAACAATTCTATCAATAGTTCATTTATCAAGACTTTACCTTTCAACCAAGAACCCTATCTGTTAATAGTGATATTAACAGATACTATTCAGAAACAAAGAATTCAGAAGATTCATCAATATTTCCAGTACAACACATATCAACACCAGAACCAGAAGAAAACAGTAATTTTTCAGATTTAGAAGAAGATAATCAAACTGACTCAGAAAGTAACACTCAATCAGAAGAAGAAGAAAATAATCAAATAGCACAACAAAATTTAGATAATCTCATTCAAGCTCTTGGAGCTCTTACTGATTGCATGGCTGACCAGAATGCCTGGTCTATGGAAAAGATTATAATTTCAATCAGGAAATACCAAGAAAATGACCAAGATCTGACAAAATGACTCAAAGACTTTAATATTGCCACCCAAGCTAATGGTATTATCAATACCAGAAAAGTATAACTAGTTAGAGGATATCTAGAAGGTGCTGCTGCCTTATGATATGACAAAAGAGGAAGAGATGATGCTACTTGACTAACAGCTTGAAATGATGATCAAGATCTATCACACAATTTCAGTCATCAATTTGCAATACAATTTCATACTCAAGAAAGGATTAACCAATGACAAGATGAAATTGAAATCTTACAACAGACTGGTACTGTAGAAGAATATACAGATAAATTCATAAATCTACTTTGTAAAGTAAACCCTGAAAATATATATCCAGAAGAATATAAAATCCAAATATACAGAAGAGAATTGAAACCAGAGATCAGAAAATAGATTCAGATCTTAGCTGATGGAACTTTCCTAAATATGGTACAAGTTGCAAAGAATATAGAGAAAGCTGATGCAAATATACCTATCCAAGAATATTATCAATTTCAGATTCAGGATAACTCAATACTAAATGCTATATTGGTAGCACTCCAAGGCCTCAACTAGTGAATAGAAAGTATTGAAATCAACAAAGGATCAAGTTATAACAGAAATAATTCAGATTATAGATCTAATAATCAAAATTCTAAACCAGTCTCAATTTGCTATAATTGTGGTGAGCCAGGTCATATCCATCCTAACTGTCCTTAGCTATAATCATACCAAAATAACCAGAATAACTTTGGAAATAATCATCAGAGAATGAATGGAAATAATCAGCAATAAAATAATGTGCCACCAAATCAGGTAAATACTGACAATAACCAAAATGCAAATAATAATCAGAATGCATTATTGGCTCAAATACAAGCTCTTACTGATAGTATTCAAATATTAACTGCTAAACCTGACAATGTAAATTCGCTACTTGGTACACATAAATACTTATCTGCTGAAAGAAAATCCAGAAATTCCAGAACTACTCCTTATAAAACTAGACCTATAGATCAATCTTGTAAAGAAATAGTTAATGAAATTGAAGAATTGCATGATGATGAAGAAGAAGAACAAGAAGAAACTCCTGAAATTATTCTTGATCAAGATATAAATAATGCTGAACTATCTAAAACTGTAGAAGAGAAACTTACTAAAAAGATTATTTGCAAAAAGAAAAGTAAAATCGCTTTACCTATACTTGCTATCATGACTGAACTATATGATATTTTAGAAGATTTGACTCAATAAAAAGCAAATATAACTATTATTCAACTTATTCAAACCTTGTCTTCATAAAGAACTCAACTATCAAAAGGAATGTGCCATGCTATAATACTCAAGCCAAAGAGAAAAAGAAGAGCATTACTTAGACAAAAACTCAAAACCATATCTGCATGATGTGAAGTAAAAGTTAGAAAGAATGTTATTAATTTAATTATTGATACTGGAGTCTCTGGATGTGTCACTACACATAACTTTATTAAAAACTTAGGATTAAAAATCCAACGCAGTTTAAATATTTTAATGTCTGATATAAATGGTATATCTAAATAATCTCTTGGAGCTATCAATAACTTATTATTAAATATTAATAGAATCATAATTTCTACTGAAGTAGATATTACTGAAGCAAAAACATACTTAGTAATTGTTGGAATAGACTTTTTAAATAAAATCAAAGCTAATATTGATATCAGAAAAGGACTCATAACTTTTGAATATAATGATCAGAAAGGAAAAGTACCTATTAAATTTATTCATGATAATAGAGGAGAACTGATATTTGATGATACTACCTCTAAAGAAGATAAATTAGAAGAAGATTCTGAAAGTGAATTTGAAAAACAATACTTGGAAAAGAAAACTTTTCTCATGTGACAATATGATGATTGAAATATTATAAACTTCAGAGAACAAGAATTTCAAGATTATGATAGTGTTGAAATCATCACAAAAGAAGCCTGGATCCCTGTTGAAATTCTGAAAAGAAATCTAAGAGATGTTGACTTTAGAGATATACTATCATCAATTATCTGAAGTGTTAAAAGAACTTATAAAGTACAAGCTTATCAGGAAGGAATCAAAATCAAATAGAAGAAATATATCTGGGAAGATTTCAAATGACTTGACAAAAAGTTTACTCAATCTTGTAATTAGAATAACTAATAGTTATTTGATTGACAAGGATCAAATAGCCATATTGATGCTGTCAAAATCTCTTTATGCCTGATCACCAATATTACTGATATTATAATGAACTTGCAACTTGAATAATAATTAAAATTCAAAAATATTTCCATGCTAAATTCAAAACTAATGAAAATTGGGCTGATGAAGTTGAATAAGAACTCTTCATTAATAAAGAGTCAAGAAAAGCTTTGATTCATACCAAGCTATCTCACAACAAATTCATCACAATTTGCAAATTGAAAGATGCCATAAATGTGAAAATATATAGATAAATATTATACTGGAATATATTTTAAAATGAATGGAGAAAAAGTAACTATCTGTGATAATTATATCTGACAAAAGTAATTGAATCTTTCTACCTGTTCTCAATGTAGTAAATATAATAAACCCAGAGAAATATTTATTACTGAAAGTTATCAAAAATAATACTTTTGCACCTATAAATATCAATATGTTTATTGGTTTAATCATGAAGGATAA